CATATAGGGGAGTGGTGGCGCAGAGGTTAGAGAGGTGGGCCTGTGATCCGAAGATCGCCGGTTCATGCCCCGGCCCCGACAACATCAAAATTGTGGGTGGGGTAGGTGAAACACCCACACTTGCCCCCACCCTCATTCGCCCCACTCAGGGCCCATGAGCAAGGCCCTTAACCCCCACCATGTGCTCCCTAAACAGGTCTCTCTTGAAAATGAGTTCTCGTGGCTCAATGAGACTACCTGGATAAATACAGGCTAAATGGAAAATATATATATATATATATATATATTGTTCCATATTTTCCTCACAGAGCACTTCGCTCTCAGACTGCAGGCTTACTCACAGTTTCTAGAGTTTCCAAAAGCAGAACGGGAGGAAGATCTTTCAGTTATCAGGCTCCTCTCTTGTGGAACCAACTTCCAGTTTCTGTCCGTGAGGCTGACACATGTCCAGTTTAAAGACTTTCTTTTTTGATAAATCCTATAGTTAGGATTGGCTTTATATGCTGCATTAAACTTAGACTACTAGAGCACAAATTGACCTAATTTCCTTAAATGAATTGTTAAAATTGAATATTTTTCATTTGATACTATTTCTATCTTAACATGTGATTCTTGACCTGCCATTGTGTATCTGTTCCTCTCAAACCCAGCCGGTCGAAGCAGATGGCCGCTTGTCCCGAGTCTGGTTCTGCTAAAGGTTTCTTCCTCATGATGGGAGTTTTTCCTTTCCACTGTCGCCTTCATGCTTGTTCAAGATGAGAGTTCTGCGATGGAGTTAAACTCAAAGCAGTCTGCTCCTCAGATAAATAATGTTACCTTATTATTTTTATATATGAATGTTTCTGTTCAGTGCCCTGAGATGACTTCTGTTGTGACTTGGTGCTATATGAATAAACTGAATTGAATTAACTATAAAATGAAAAGCCAGGTTTTCTTGTAACTTTAAGCAGCCAAATGCAGGGGGAGGAGGGTCAGCAAAAACATTTTATAAACAGAGAGGTGGGAGGGGTGCACGGCAACAGGTTTGTTTCTACTTGTTGACAAAGTGACTGCAAAAAGAAAACATTTCATTCAAGAATAAAGGAGTGGCAATAGCTACTAAAATCTGATTAGGAGGGGATTTATTATTTTAACGATTGAGCACAAAAGCCCCCTCCCTCCCGGATTTAAAGATTAATAACATTACCGGTTGTTTGTGGCTTTGGACGGTCTTCTCTGTTCCAGGACTTGTGGATCCACAGATTTCTAGTTTTCCGGTTAGTCCTGATAAGCAACCCTGAAAATGGACAACAGCTTTAAAGCTCAGGTATGAGGAAATGAAAAGAGCAACAACAAGAAGGCCAAGCTGCAGTCGACCTGCGCTCGTCGGACCTGCTGGGTGTCCACAGCCTCCAGTCTCCTCTTCAGCCCCTCCAGATCTGAGCTGACCTCCCTCTGCAGAAGCCTCAGCCGGTTCCAGATAACATGGACCTTCTCCCGGGCCTCCAGACACTCGGTGCTCTGAGCCGGCGCGCGCTCGCCCGGAGGTTTGGTGTTGACCAGCAGCTGCGCCGACAGCTCCTGCAGGGAGGAGACTTTCTGCTGCGAGTCCAGCAGCTCACGCTTGATTTGCTGCAGGAGGACAAACAGGAATAGATCAACGATGGTCAACAATTAGCTTCTTTTTTCTCTTATGTGCAGAAAATAGACATAAAGATGTTAGAATGAAACGGGTCACAGTTACAAGTTAGTACCAACATTTAGATCTAAATTGGCTCTCGGAATGAACAACGATCATCACAGCACATAAAACCATCTCTGCACAAAACACACCGTCAGTGTTTCGTGATGAGCTCGAATCGTTTCGCGGTCCGCTTTCAGAGGGACAGGCACCACCTCGTTCCTCCTGCGGTCGATGTTCTCCAACCACAGCAGCAGGCCGTGACTCATCTCATGAAACTCCTGCAATAACACACCGACTTCCTGTTAGTCATATTGATTACAAAAAAGAAGCCGTTCTGAGGATGAATAAAGGTGTTTGTCATGAAAAGCTACATCTTGAGAAGGTTTGGTGCAAAGAAACATTTTTGTCTTGGATTATATAAGTAACCTTTTCAACTGCAGAAATTTTACAGCCTTGTATTTACATTTTGATTCAGCTGCATGCCATAGACATTTATATTTACCATATTTTTCACTGTATAAGTTGTAATTTTTGCATAAATTTACAAGTCCTGCGACTTATACACTGAAACGACTTATTTATGTTTTTTCCCCATATTTATAACCCAATATTTGGCTAAGATCTGCTGATTTCATTCATTCTGACATGGAAAATATTGAACACTACTATTTTCAGCCACTAGAGGGCCCTCGACGAATATGGCAAGCCAAGTGTCTCATTAATAGGTAAAAGTGGCTATTAATGAGACAACTGGCTTGCTATACAAACCACCTTCATCTCGCTTCCGAAATCCTGGAGCAAATGTCAAATCAACTGCATTTAGCTGTGTCACCCAGGCAAAATGCAGCTGATGTGACCATTAAAGTGCATTTATCAAGGAAAAGTTCAACAGAGACGCACCTTTACTATAATTTTGAGCAAACAAATAATTGTTTTTAAGTGTTAATCTTGTAAATGTTTTGTACAACAAGCCACAGTTATCGTGCTGCTGCCCGTGTCGTTTTCAGTACCTGGCACTGCATCAGCGCCCTCTGCAGCTCCTCCCGCCAGTCCTCCAGCGAGGCGCCGAGTCGATCCCAGCGCGAGTTCATCTCTTTCAGCCGGTCCCGCAGCTCCCAGGCCTCCTCAGAGTCGGGCTCTGATTGGAGGAAATCTGCACTGCTCAAGTTTATGGAGAGGACCTCTGACTTGTGAGCTTCCATTCCCTTCTGCAGCTCCTGAGTGCAGGCGACATCAGAGCAAGATGTATTTATAGAGGTGTGGAGACATATTTATGGTGCTACTAGATAACAGAAGCTGAGAGCAGATGAGGCGCTGACATATGAGCAAGCAGCAGAAAGAATCGCAGACAGTAGATGAAGGATTGGTGTCTTTATTGCACGAGATACTGGCACGTTTCTGTTTAGGTGTCCTGAAGGACAAATTTTGTCCTGAAGTTGAACATTTTATCCACTTCATGTACATCTGATGATACTTTGACGCAGATCAGAAAAACGTGAATGAGGATGGCAAATTAGGTCCCACAGATTAAAACAAATAACCAAAAACCTTTAATTGAGTTTCAGCAGAAGCTCCTAAGAATGAAAAGGTTTTTTTAATGGTTTCCATGGTTCTTTAATTGTTGCAGACACGAACAGATCAACACTAAACAAACCTTGAGCTTCTTGATCCTCTGCTGGATGCTGTGTATGTTGGTGCTGGCGTCCAGCCCTCGCAGTCGGCTCAGTTCGGCCTCTGACTGACCCAGCCAGGCCCTTGTGGTCTGCAGATCTGAAATCAGCTGCTGCCACTGCTGCAGGTTTTGTTTATGTCGGTGCTTCTCACTAAGAGACTGAGCCTGGACCAGCTCCCAGCGCTCAATCACACCTAAAAGTCCAGAGGAGATGGATAAATAAAGATTGTAATAGTACAAATAATCTGTTCTGTGTGTGTGTGTGTGACTGACCTGCGTTCTGTGCGTCAGTACCGGTAGGGTTGGTGAGACCCGTCATGTCATCCTCGTCTTCGGTAAGCTCTTCCTCTGCTCTCTTCGCGGCATCGATGCTGCCTCGACAGTCTCCCATCAGACGCATCTGTGATGATCAGAGAGGTGATGTGTTTATTAAAGAATAACAAAGTTTACTTTAAAATAACTTCTTTAGACAGGAAACGTACGTAGCCCATGTACGTGGAGTCGACGTCGGGGCTGGATCGGTTGGCGGCGGCCTCCCTCTGCTGGAGGTGGTAGCGTCCTGCATCCAGAGCCTGATCCAGCTGTCTCAGACTGGCCTCCAGCTGACCTGGCTCCCCTGCACCCCAAACCACAAACAGCTCAGGTGACTACAGAAGGGAGTTACTGCTCGCATGCCGTTGATGTAAAATGAAGCTGGATCATCGTGCGTTAGTGTGACAATGGAAACAGGAAAAAGGTTTTGCACACTGATTTGATTAGCGATGGAATTAACGAGGAAAATAAGCAACATCTTTTGATATGGTCATTTTCACATGCAGCTATAAAAGGTGGAGCATCCGGTGTGAAGGGTAACTCAAAGTGTGGTTAACAAGCATCTGTTAAAAAAAAACAACACAAAGATGATGGCATGCTCCACTGACTCGTGCTGTTTCATACCAGAGGACGATTTCAAAGTGTTCTCGGTCAGTTTTATATAGGCCTCTGGGCTCTCTGGGATAACTACATCTGGGTGGGAAGAAACACACAACATACACTCCTTACACTGGAGGCCTGATGGAGACAGTCAGTGTGACAAAGCAGGATGAGCTGACACAAATCTGAATCTTTACCATCTCTGAATTTAGATTTTGGTCCATTTTCTAATGACAGAAAGTGAACTAATTCAACCAAATACCAACAATAGTAGCTACACTTGAAGCAATATGGAGTCTGCAGGTGAACTGGAATCAGACAACTTTGATCTTTACAGATTAGGTGCCTGAAACTGATTGTTATTTAGTAAAGCAGGGTATAATATTAGAAAAGTTTAAAGTATCTAGTTGTAATTCTGCATGTTTGCATTGATTTTTTTTTTTTTTGGCATTGACTGGCTAAACTAATTTCAAATGCACTGAGTTTTAGAAATGATAACAAAATAACTGGTACCACTTTACAATAAGGCTCCCCTTAAAAATGGCTAATAAATAGTTTATAGATATGTTATTAATTCATCTATAAACACTTTATAAATCAATAATAACTGCTTATTAAGTTACAAGCACAATAAGCATTTGTAAACCAATGTTTTTTTAAGGATATATTAGTTGTAGATGCTTGTAATACAGTGATAAACTACAATATTATATGCTAAAGAAATAGGTTTACAAAAGTTTTTTTCTGCTTACAAGGTAGTAACTTAGTGTGAAATGGTTAATATAACAACTCTAGATGAAATATATAGGTGAACAGATTTGGCTCACTATTTGGCAACAAACTAGTCTGTTTTGTCTCTTTCTCGTCTTAATTAATGCATAATAAGCAGTTATTATTGATTTATAAAGTATTTATAGAGGAATTAATAACCTATCTATAAACTATTTATTAGCCATCTATAAGGGGAGCCATATTGTGAAGTGGTACCAAAAAACTTTTCACAATCTGTGAAAACATGCGGTCGTTATAGAAGCATCTCTGCTTTTTGGTTGCTTCTTCAGATCGTTGTGGAAATCTGGGCTTGTGTTAGATAAATGAAAGAATTAACAACTGTGTTCACTTTAAATTTATTTATTAGCAGTATATTACTACTAGTAGTACTAGTAGTATTACAGTAGTACTAATACTTCTGATTGTAACTTGAACTTGCTCTCCTGTTAGATGCACAATTCAGTGAAAAATTTAAAGAAATAAAATATATAAATATAAATCGGTTTGTTTCGAAGTGAGTCCAGTTTGGAAAACAGCGAGTGGACGAAGCGAGAACCAACCTGAGAGCACCGCCGCTGACGTCCTCAGGTACTCGTCCTCCGGCCCTCGGCTCCTCTCCCCCCGCCCTCCGGGACTCTCCAGGTCTCTGCTCAGGTCTCTACTCAGGTCTCTGCTCAGGTCGTAGTCGTGGTCCCACTCTAAGGGGATGGAGTCCACGCTGGCCGGGGTGTCTCGACCCGAGCGGTCAGCCCGAATGATGGCCGCCGCCGCGCCTGAGGACGGACGGCTGGACGTCCGAGGCAAGGAGGCCTCACCCCACTGCATCTCAGTGAGGTCTCCCCTGTCCTCCATGTCCAGCTCTCTGTCTGAACCATCGAGCTCATCATCCACCAGCTGCGAGGGACAGATGGGACAAGTCGTTCTCTGTGTTTCAGAACTTCCTCATTAAAAGACAGAGGTTTAACGTTTGTAACTTTTCTTACAGGTAGCCGCGTTAGCTTCTTGTAGTATCTGTCCACTCGTCCGAACACCTCCTGACAGTATCTCTGCAGCTCCTCCAACTCCTCCTCGATTACAGCGGCGTCCAGAGGCTCGCTCTTCTCGATCAGCGCTTCGCCCTGCCTGAACACCAACTCTATTTTTGCTGTGTTCAGATAAATCTCCTGCTGGAAGGCCTGTGCAAAAAATAAATAAATAAAATTATATATATAAATTTAGACAATATAGGAAGAAAAGGACCAATTCATGCATATTTAAACGAGTCTGTTCTCACCCGGAGCTGTTTTATTTTGGCCTGAACGTCACACTCAGAAAAATGCTCGATGTTGGTTAACTGCAGGTCCATCTCAGTGAGCCACACCAGGATGCTGTCCCGCGTCGTCTCAAACTCCTCCCTCTGACCAATGAAGTGCTGTTCAAACAAAGACAGGCCCATAAACACACAAGTCAAACTTTAAAAGCATGTGGCAGACGTTTAATCTACTAGAGCCCTAACAAAAATGATTAAACTCAAAACTTTGAAGAAACCATCCTACCTTAAGTCTGCGCAAGATGGCAGCCACTCTTTTCTGCAGGTTATCCCACCTCCTGTTCCCATCATGCACCATTTCTTTGAGATGGCATGAAGCGTCTGTCCGGTTCTCCCGGGCCAGGCGGCGGTACTGCTTGTTGATGAGCTCCAGCTGGGTCAGACATTCCTGCACCTGACGCTGGAAGGCCTGAGTCAAAACAAACACACATAATGAGTCTACAGAGAGCACACATTGAGAATGTGGGTTTCAGCTTTAATATAAATAAAACTACAAAAGAAATTCTTATAATCTGATGATGAAATCTGCAGAAATTCATTTTTTAGATCTGCTTTAACACTTTCAGCCTTACAGTGTTAACTGGACTTTATTTCCAAGTTGTGAATAAATCCGTCATGTGACGCTGGTCCAGACCATACGCTCTGCAGGAATGTTCAGAGAGACAGACTGCAGCAGCTGAGCACCCCCCCCCCCCCGACCCCCCAAGACACACCTCTCCCCCTCTGGTTCATGTCCCGTCTCTGCTGCTGTACAGCTTCTTTACATTTTTGTATTTATCTTTGATTATATGAAAACTTCATGTACAACAATTTACATTCTAAACATTTATACCCTCCACTGAGGAAAGTGGCGTGTGTTCATACGTCGATTGTGTTAGCAAAATAGCTCACGAACCACAGGATGGACTTTACAGAAACTACCAGAACATAATCAATAGATGTGCATCCACAACTTTGGAGTCAGTTCAATTTAAGATGGCCGCCACAGCTAAATGACATAATTAAACACAAATATGTCTAGAACCAAGTCACTTTTACACACATTGAGCTAAAATGCTGTGTGGTAGTAGCTGAGAGTCACTCCTAACACATACTCTGAACACTAAATCATCTTATCGGTTCTCCTCAGGTGGAGGTGATTTGCCACTGTGACTTGTTTCCCCGCTCTGTGGGCGAGATCGTCAATGCTAAGTGTGCAGTATCGTAACAGGTCATTGTGTTCGAGCCATTCCACCCGTTGTGGTCCTTAATCGTCCTATAACCAGACTTCATTTCTTTTAGATTATGTCGGCACTGCTTATATGTCTGGGTGTAGCCAAGCTGCTCCATCATCTCAGCTATCTCTCGGTAAATGTGCTCATTTCTTGTAGTGCTGTCCATCTTATGTTTAATCCTAACATCATCCAGTAAAGTTAGGGAGGTCTGGACTTCATAATTCGTGCATGGCACCATTTTTGGAGCTTCTGTAAAAGAAACTAGAAAAAAAAAACCACACACACTGAACATGAGAACGAAAAGAAATGGAGGTTCAGTTTTAGCAGTTTTGCTGGGCGGGTCGTCCAGTGTTGAAGCTCCACTGGCCAATCAATGGCTGTTGTCTGCTTATTTCAAAATTGTCACCTCAGAGCATGAACAAGATGGACCCATAAACCAGGCTGACTGGGGGTGGGTGCCAACAGTGGGTAGGCCTTTAACTGGTGCAGTGCAATGCAGAACCGATGAGAGTTGAGACATTGGCAAAGCACCATAACTGATTACTCAAGATACGTTTAAAAATAGCCTTTAACTATTGAAGTCAACTCAGTCTGTCTGTTAGCAAAATATCTCATGAACAAGTGGACAGAATTTAGTGAACCTCTAAACAAGTAATCATTGGTTGTACATCTACAACTCACTAACATTTGTAGTCAGCACAGTTCAAGATGGCCGCCACAGCTAAGCAACCAAGGCCAACACAAAAATGTCCATGAATCCGTCATCTGTCACCATAAGGAGATTTGCATTCCTTTAAGAAATGCTAGACCTGCAACTTAATCTCTGATTACAGGAAACCTTCACTCACAATTTTGATGATTTGCTCAACGTACATGTGGACGTAACGCACGGATTTAACAATTCTTTAAAAACACATACTTCGAACTTCTTGAGCTCCTCTTTAGCGACGGTGTACAGTACTCCAGAGGAGTTGGGCAGAGCTGCTGTTTTTTCAGAGGTCTTCAGCCACTCCTCAAACCTGCAGTAATCATCCAGAAACTTCTGCCACAGCCTCCACGTCTCCTCAATCCTGCAAAGGGACAAGGATTGTGAGTTTGGATTATTGTGTAATTTAAGTTTTTTTTCATTCAATCTTTACTTATACAGGCTAGCCTCACTGAGCCACAGGGACTCACTTACAAGAGGGACCTGTTCCAGACAGAACATATAAAGTACAGGCAATAACAGTAAACAATGACAACAATAAACTACAGTAAAAATGCAGTTAAAATAAAAGTAGTGTCTAAAACAGGGTGAAACACTAAAAACAAGAACATATCTGCTTTAATTTTTCTATTGACATTATCAAATGTTTGAAACTCCTTAAAGAAATCAAGGAGGACAACTTCAGTTCCTGTTGTGAGGTGTTCCAGGTCGCAGGAGCTGAATAGGAAAATACCTTTTTGCCAAGTTCAGTTCACACTGAGGGAACGCTGCAGGTAATGATGACCTGAGAGCGCATGTTGTAACTGCACTGACAGTGTGACATGTGGGAAGAGATATAAGAAGGCAGCAGACCAAGGAGGGATTTATAGATGAAAATGAACCAGTGTGAGAGCCTACATGTAGATAATGATGACCAACTGACCAAGGAGTACAGGGTGCAGTAATGGGTACGGTAGTTACAAGCAGTTATGAACTTTAGCACGCCATCGTAGACAGCATTCAACATCTGCAAGGAGCTGGCAGGGACATTCATGTAAATAATGTCACCATACTCAATGGTCGGTAGGAAGGTAGCAGCTACAAGGTGTTTTCTGGCACTCAGAGTTAAACAAGATCTATTTCTGAAAAAGAAACCCAATTTTAATTTCTGTTTCTTTATCAAGTTTTCAATATGTGGTTTAAAAGAGAAATGTGTATCGACCAAAATTCCCAAGTATTTGTAAGAATCTACAAACTCAATAGGAACACCGTGCATGGATGAGATAGGAGGAAGAGTTGCTGGCACCGACTTTCTGTTGGAAATCAACATCCCTTTGGCTTTGTCAGCATTTAGCACCAGCTTGAGATGGAATAAGTCTGACTGAATGATGTCAAATGCAGACTGTAGAAGCTGGAAAACCTTGGCAACTGTGCTAGCTCGGCAATAAACAACAGTGTCATCGGCATAGAAATGCAAGGATGCATTAGGAATGTTTTAGCCTACATTATTTATATAAATTGTAAAGAGTGGGACCTAAAACTGAGCCTTGTGGTACACCATTGGTGACCGTTAGGTAGCTAGATGAAGTACCATTATGTCAAACACATTGCCTCCGACCTGAGAGATAGTTTAAGAACCAGCCAACAGTGTGATCCGAGAGGCCAACATCTGAGAGCTTGTGTGATGTCATGATCAAGGTAGAACTAACTTGAGTCTCCTCTCCATGGACATGGCGCAGATGTTCCTCCAGCGTCGGTCCAGGCCTCTGGTGGCCTGCTGGATGGAGTCGCACTCCGTCTCGGTGGAGCAGGCGTCGCAGTCATGCAGCAGCACTTCACACAGGTTCAATACCGACGCCACGCCCGTGCTGTGCTTCTCTATGTCTCGCTGCAGCTCCTGATAAAACATGCAAATAATTAACTCAAGATTAGCACCACACACACGTCTCCCTTTGTTCTACGGTAAATAAAGATCTTATACGCTGCTAATTAATCCTAAAGAAAAAAAAAGCCTTCTTCTCATTAAGCAACATTAAATCGTGGAGCGTTCTCCCTCTGCAGAAGAAGTAGGTCAGTGGGGACTCATGAACAAGTCCAGACTTAGAGCAGCATCATGGCTGCAGGACCTCAGCTGACACTTACAGTAAACAAACATCGAGACAATTCACGAGTCACCACTCAGTGTCTGCTATAATTTAGTATTTACAAACACATAAAACAAATCTGCTGTTATTGTTTTAATTAAAAAATGTCTACCTAGAAGTTGCATCATTGCCTTTTACTGATCAGTTTCTGCAAAACGCCAAGAATAAGGGAGGTATTTTGTTGGTGTGTGAAAAGAGCCAGTGTTTTTGTATGTGAGCCAGGTCAGCGTGTGTGCGTGTGAGATGACTCACCTGCTGTTGGTTGAGTTTCCTCTGAATCTCCTGGCTGTTGCATGTGTCGTAGACGATGGGCCTGGAGAGCTCGGCCTCGATGTAAGAAAGCCAAGAGCGCAGGCTGCTCATGTTTTTGTCTAACTGCTGCACCGCCACCAGGGTCTCCCGCAACTTCTTCACCCTGGAGAGGAAAAATAAAAACTCAAAGTTAGAGTCAACACACAAAACAACTCGTTACTCATAGATCCCACTATAACTTAACCCCTGAGAAAATAAATGTTAACCAGAGCTGATATCAATGTTCGATGCATAAAAAGCTACAAGTTTCTCCAGTTTATTTGTGTAGAGTTTTAAACAAGATGAACAATACTACTGTTATTCACTATAAAGGCTATATTAAACATAATGAAAGAACAAAAAATATGTATTAAACACTACAGACAGCTAAAAAGGCACATTTTATCTATAACTTGATTACATGTGGATAGGATAACTTTTGAAATGGAGTCATATAAATAATCTGAACAGAAGAGAATTGAAAGCTTTTATAAGGTCCATTTATACTGATGCAATAAATCAGATAAATTGACTAAGATGATGACCAGCGAAGTCCAAAGCCTACAAAATGGATCAAAAACAATTTCAAGTGTTTGTTCAGTGTAACACCTTGAGTGCGACATGAAAATCTGCACTTTCTTTGTTGCGACAGACCAAAACAGACTGAATTAAATCAATGGAAGTCGTTTACCGCTTGTAATAACTTGTGCATACAGTGCTCCACTCCTCAGCTGCTCATTAAAGCTCAGAATCCCTGAACGTGTTGGGTTTTCACAGTGCAGCTTGCAGCTGAAGATGCATGAAAATGTAGACGGCTTCATTCAAAAACATCTGTATCCCTTCAAACTCCAGCTGTGAATGACCGACATATGTCGTTTGTAAATCGCAGCAGCTCAGACTTGATGGGAATCAGGTAGCGGAGCTTACTCTTGCTTTTTTACCTCCCCTCTGCTGGCGACAGACTTGTTTAAATACCGGGAGATTATTCTAAACACCTTCCGCACCAGGCTGGAAAATATCATGAGGCCAAAAGAAAAAAATAATCAAAGATAAACTGTCTGAAAAAAAATAATAATTTGGGCCCTGCAGCACATGGTGCAACAACAAAATCAAGACATAGAGTAATATGTTTAGAGCAGGGCTGTTCAACTAAACTGCTCAGGGGGCCACAGTTTCTGAAAGCAGCAGCCCAGGGGCCGGACATCCAGCGATTAAAGTCATTATGTAAATAAACCGAGTATTACCTTTTAAATTTGTTTATTTTATTGCATTCAGTCATATATGCAATAAACAGAACCCAAAACCAAAACCCAGAACCGCCCACGGGCCATCAGTTGAATAGCCCTGTTTTAGAGAGATTAAGAAACTGTGGCCCTGCACGGTTAAAGCTGAGAGTCTGAATATTTCAGGAGGCTGCAGATCCTTCACTGACACATCAAAACATCAAACTCCTCCTGCCTGTTGACGTTGCAGTCGCAGCGTGGCAGATAATCCTCCTCGTCGCTCGAACACTCCGCCATGCCGTCCGTTTCTAAATCCAAAACCATGGGGGAGTGGGGTTTCCGAAGACGAAGGAAAAGCCAGGAAGTACGTGGGTCCCGACACTCCTCTGTTTCATGTGCAAGCTTCAGGGCTCAGTCTAAAGCCTGTGAGCAGAGAGTGGACGGGCCAGCAGGTAGAGGCGGGGTGGAAAAACTCTGACTGGTCAACTGGAGCTCTCCAGAGTTAAAAAAAGAAACCCGCCAACAGGCCTCTGTGTGTGTGTGACAAATGTGGGTCCTTCTAAAACAAGCCATACAGTCAGAGGCATGTGCTGCAGAGCAGATCTGTGTCAGAATATCAAGCAGTAAATACACACTGAGGGTGTGGGGGGTGAACAGGCACCGACAGAACGCTTTCTAGAAAAGTATTATTCCATGAGAATTCACTTAAACCCACAAATCGGCTTAAAAGTTTCAAATTCAAGAAACAGTGTGTCCACAAAGTGGGGCAAAAGGACAAGAAGGCTATAAATCACAGCAACAACCTCTTTTTCTTATCTTTTTTTTTTTTTAGAATGAGGAGGAAATAAAGGACAAAGAAGGTGCAGCTGCCTGGATGAGGTCAGAAACAACCCCCTCCTTTTCTTTCCTCCTCCAGTGCAGTCCCAGAGGGCGACAGCCGGGCGACAGCCGACGAGGGCAGCCCAGACAGCTGGGAGTCAAACTTTGGGTCGGGTCACTTTGCAGAGAAGCAGCCAAAATTTTTATTTTATTTTATTTGAAACGAAGAATAAAGTCCATGAACTTTATGAACCCGCTTCAACTCTGGTGGGTGTGCGTCCAGAGGGCCAGAGAAACGTCAGAAAGGAAGTCCGTGGAGAAGAAATGTGAAATGTCTCCGCTCAGAGTGAATGGATGTCCCACTGACACCAGCAAGAAACACAGGAAATGCCTCAGCGGCATTGTGGGAAAGAAAAATCCCCCTTTGTCATGGAGCAAGGCCAAGACATGCCTTAAATGTTACAGCGCAGGAACAATCTGATATATTTAAGCTCTAACAGGGTTAATGTAGCTTTTAGCTCATTTTTTGTGGAGGACATGATCCAAGCTCTGCTGTAAAATAAACTATTAACACTTTTTATATTGACACGAGTCTGATTAGTCCTTTGCACCCACCTGGCTGCGATCAGGTCCAGCAGGTGTTGCCAGCGCTCGCTGACTTTGCTGAGTTTGTGCTGAATTTCGGCTGCCTTGCTGTCTTGGCTGGCCCGGGCCAGGCGCTCACCCATCGCTTGCAGCTGCTGCTTGTTTTCCTGAGCTACACCGATCTCCTCTTGATAGTCCTGATACAATAAAACAACACGAGTGCCATAAAACCTCTTGGTCCCCCAACGTACGTGTCGTAAGGTAAATTTAGGCGAAGACGGTTTGTGGAAATGACCTTGCGCAGCTTTTCAATCATCTCTTCAATGCTGATGTCTCCATTCTGAGAGACTCTGCTCTCCATCTGGGTGAGCCACTCGCACAGTTCCTTGTTCTTCTCATTGAAAACGGCCCACTCGTTCAGCTTCTCGCTCACCTGTTGCCGGCGCAAAAAAACCTGTGGGCACAAAAGAGGAAACGAGGTGAGGTTCTGGACAGGAGACACGTTTTGAAGAATTGTAGAGAATGCCAAAGGAAAGTGATGAATACAAAATGGAAGGTTTGAATAATAAAGTAACACAAACAAGAAGAAATGTACAGGAAATTTAGTTGATATAATTAGGGAGGCTAATGACAAATGAACTCATTTATAAACCATAACAAAGTAAAGCTTTATTACTACTTTAAACACTCTTAATTTGAACCAAAAGCTCATTCCAACACACAAAACACAGCTTGTGTACAAAGCCGTTGTAATCTGCAATGGTCAAAATGGCCATTTAACATGCTACAGGACGGAGAAAAAGCTACATTGTTTTCAATATTGTTGACTGTAATTTATTGTGCATGCTCTTTCTTTTGCACATGCCTCAGTATTTTATGTACAGCGCTTTGGCTGACGGCAAGTATTTCTAAATATGATTTATGAATAAAACTTGAACGAAGCTGAAAACCCAAGTTAAGCTTAAATCGATGTTGTCAGAACCCTTAAGATGTCAAAGAAAAAATAGCTTAAATGCAGATTATGAGCTTAAATTAGAAGAAAATCAAGGACGATGCAAAACCTCCAGAACTGGCTAGAATGTAAAAATTGTGTACTTCAACAACCTTCGTCTGAAGGAGCTAAACTTGGTTTAAAGTGTCCCTCCACTCAACCCCTACACCCTGCAGGCACAGACTGCAGTCAAGGTGGCACGAGTAAAGCAGCGAGGACTGCAGTGCTTGTTGGAAACCTGGACACTTCACTTCAATGAACTGCTGTGAAGTTTCTTATCTATAATTTCTATTATGAAATTTCACCTGTGTGCTTTAAGGTAGCCATTTTTGACCCTGCATGTGACATCATCTGCTCAGTTGTTACCAGTAAGACTCTTTTTGCTACAGTACACTTCTTTACCACCATTTAAACTGATTTTCATTTGTATTTATTTCTCAATATTAAGAAACAGCAATAGACAAAATGCATTTCCTGCAGAAGAGCAGTGTGAATGCTTATTGCTGAAGAACTTGCTGGAAAAACAGCTGAAATTAGCCACAAACATGCTGAAATGGAGCTGAAATGGAAGAACAAGCCTAAGTTAGCAGAAGAAAGCAGAAAGAACACGTATTTGCTGAATTAGGTTTAAATAAACAGAAATGAGCACAAAAAATATTAAATTAATTAAAAAAAAGCTGAAGTAAGCAAAAATAGCTGAGAAGTAGCTGAAAAGACCGAAATAAAATCTTAAACTACCAGGAGGAAGTGGAAAGAGCTGAAATTAGCTAAAAAATGTGGAACTAGTTGAAAATGCTAAATTTAGCACAAAACAGCTAAATGGTAGCTGAAATAGCAGAAAAATCTGAAACTAGCAGAAAAAAGTTGAAGGGAACATAACAAGCTCGAATTAGCAGAAAGAAGTTAATTGGGTCGAAAGTAGCAGAAATTTACATGAAAAACTTGAATTTATCTGAAAACAGCTGAAATTAGCTAAAAAATAATTAAAAAAAAGGAGCTGAAAAGGTAGAACGTTTAAATTAGCATAAAAAAGCTGAAAGTATATGTTTGCCAAATTAGGCTGAAAGAAGCAAAAATTAGCACAAAAAGTGGAAATTATCTGAAAAAAGCTGAAATTAGCAAAGAAACAGGTGAAAAGTTGCTAACAAAGCAGAAACAAGCTGAAATTACAAGAAGGAAGTGCAGAGAGCATAATTTTGTTGAATTATGCTGAAAAAAGTTGAAATGAGTGCCAAAAATGTGCAATTAGCTGAAAAAACTAAAATTAGCATAAAACAGCTAAATAGTAGCTGAAATAATAGAAAATGTGGGAACTAGAAGAAATAAGCTGAAAGGAGCCTAACAAGCTAAAATTAGCAGAAAGAAGTTAGAAGTACAAAAATGTTGTAGTTAGCAGAAATAATCTGAAAGTAGCACAAAACCGCTGAAATTAGATGAAAGTAGCTGAAAAAAAGTTAAAATTTGCACAAGGAAGCTGAAAGAAGCTAAACCAGAACTACGGTAAATGTGAAAGGAGCAGTAAAAGGTTGTAAACAGATTTAAAGATTTGAAGGATGTAAAATGAGCTCAATTCATTTTCTATGAGACAAAACATGGCAGAAACATTGCTAAATATTTTAAAAAGCTAAAGTTGCACTAATACCAAAAGTCATAGCAGGATTGTCCTGAAGGAGCTGAACATTTTGATATATGATTTGCTGAAATAGCACAAAAATTGTGGAACGAGAAAGATGCTGAAAAACATACGGAAAAAAAACCGGATCACAATAGTGTGAATGCTTCATAAACATTCACACTATTATTTCTGTAGATATTTTATTTCAAGACAAATTAGAAGATGCTAAAATGTGTGTATCTACCTGGTGGCAGACCTCCTCCCACTGGCGCTGCAGCAGCTGCAGGCGTTCCTGTAAGGCTGTGATGTCATCAGCGCTGACCACGCCCTCAAAGGAATCCCTCAGCAGGAACAAGGAAGTGAGGTCATCAGTCCAACCTTCCACACTGCTCTCCAGCTCCTACATCCATGACGAGAGAGGAGACAAGTGAAGCTCTGCTCTGATGGGTGGAGACCAGCCTGTCGGGAGCTGATTCAGTCCTCCATCAGCAGAGAGACAGAGAGAGCAAGACGACTGACGCTCAGCTGCAGCAAAACCAGAAACTGTGACAAAAAATGCCAAACAAATGTCTGCTAAATGTGAAAACTAAATGATATTTAAAAAAAACCATGTAACATACAAGGAAAATCAAGCTGCTACTTTCAAGGGTAAAGGCAGCGTTAAAGAACAGAGGCGTCCAACCTCGCATCTCCTCCTCCTGCCTCGTCACTGTGACGGCTCTGCTCTGGCGTAATCATTCGTGGAGCCAGAGAATGTCTCCATTACGCAACACGCACACAAAAGGATGCGCATGGGCCTGCATACACCCCCACAGCCAGCAAGGATGCTTTCCGCCTTCTCCTGTACTCGCTCTGTTTCTCCCTCCCTGCCCCCTCTCTCCTCAGCTGATGCTTTTTGAAGCCACACTCACGCACACACACATACACACAACCCTCCTCCTTCTCCTAGATACTGAGGACGTGTCGTGCATGAAATATGAGTGCTGCATTTACTGTCCAGCACTTAACAAGAGCTGAAAGGGACCATAATGTGGATTTTTTGCACAAAAAATTAGAAAAATTTTCCTAAAGCAGACATTTTTTCGTACGGTATGAATAAATTTCCTACTGAGACAATTTAAAACATTCCTGAACAGTGATAGCTACATTATCAGGTGTCATTCTAAAAATCATAAAAATAAAATATAAGATGAACGTCAGCATGCAAGGTCCCTGCATAAAAAAATAAACTATTCTGAAGAACAAACATGCAAGGTCACAGAATTTCAAACAGATGGATACAGATTTTTTTTTTGTCTGTTTATCTGTTTGTCCCTGCAGTCGGATTAAAGAGGCGACGAGAGGACAAGTCTGAGTCTGTCAGAGAATGAAAGAGAGAAAGAGACAATCTGAACATGTGACTAATGAAAGACAAAAATGCACCCATAGTCTTTTGAAAAAGTCTCGACTCATCCCAAATTTGGCTTCTAAGGAGTCAGACTTTTTAAAATCTTTTAAAGTGGCAGATACCGTATTTGCCGCCATACACGCCGCACCACCGTATAAGTTGCATCAGTCCAAAAATGTCTAATAAAGTGGAAAAAAACATAAATATGTCGCTTCGCCATATAAGTTGCATCTATTATGTGTCACTGCTGACCACCTGGAAACGTGGGCCAGTGTTGTGCCAAAAATCGATCGGCTGGCAAATGGCGGCCACGGGAGCGTGAACAGGAGTACTTTATCAAGAATTTAACAAAATTAACATTTAAAAGCAATTATTTGTTTGCTCAAAATTATAGCAAAGGTGTGTCTCAGTTTAACGTTTCCTTAATAAATGCACTTAGACGGTAAAATCAGCTGCATTTCAAGAGTTAAGGGAGCGCGCAGAGGGAGGACTTGCTGTGCATTCCTTCCAAATTTAACAAGATTAACACCTACAAACAATTATTTGTTTGCTTGACATTATAGCAAAGGTGTGTCTCAGTTGAATTTTTCCTTAATAAATGCACTTTAACAGTCAAATCAGCTGCATTTCACCTGGGCGATGCAGTGAAATGCAGCTGATTTGATGTTTGCTCCAGGAGTTCCAGAGCGAGACGAAGGTGGCTTGGTATGGCAAGCCAAGTGTCTCATTAATAGCCACTTTTACCTATTAATGCGACACTTGGCTTGCCAGATTACGCGAGGGCCCTCTAGCGGCTGAAAATGGTAGTGCTCAATATTTTCCATGTCAGAATGAATGAAATGGTCAGATCTCAGCCAAAAATCGGGTTATAAATATGTGAATAAAAATAAACAAGTCGCTTTGCTGTATAAGTTGCAGGACATGCTTATTTAAGCAAAAGGTGCGACTTATACAGCGAAAAATACGGTAGTTTTCCAAGCTTTCTGAAAGTCTCTCCAAGTTTTTCTCTGATCTAGATGCTTTATCACTTCAGAAAATTACCAAAATGTTTGGCTCTTTGAAGGGAAAATAAGAAATTAAAGATGGTTTTAAAATGTATTCACAATTCCAACAAGAAAAAAATACATTATTTGTTTGTGTGTGCCGAGCATTTACAGTCTCCTCACCTTGCATCTGATTTGTTCTGCGTGAAGCTCCTCGTGATGTTCAGGCAGCGGCACGGACAGCTTCCTTTTAAAGGCCCTCAGCTTCTCCAGAGACACGTCGATGCCCTTCTCACAACGCTCCCAGTTCTACACACACAGAGCAAGAATTAGAGCAGAAAACACACACACACCCTGCAGAGTCTCTATACGCAGAGGAGCTGCTTTAAATGATCTCTGGTGCTGTAGCAGCACCGTCACCGACATGCCTTAAAAAAAAAAAAACTTTGGGTTTAGACAGATGACCTAATGTGCCATAAATGTGCCATTTCCTAAGCAGCACAACGAGAAAGGAGGACACAGCACATTTCATCAACTAACAAAATGAATTATAAAGATTAAATAAGAAAACAAGGAGGTTTGGCTCCAGATAAAGCAGATTAATGCCACTTCTTAAGAGTCCGGTCACAGTCTAGTTTAGGACAAAACCAAACATGGTTAGAACTTTCACAAAGTGGCAAACCTGAAGCAAGAGTTATGGTAATAAAAAGGTAAAGAACAGCTTCGTTTTTGTGTGAACTGAAGACACATTATGAGACTGTAAGAGAATGAGACCATGACTGCTAAAAAACATGCCTTTCTGCGCTGAAACCTTTTAAGCGTTGTGCATATATTTCATTTAGTACTCTTTTAGTACTAAATGTAATTTAGTACTTTATTTAATACTCTCGGGTGTGTGAGTGCCTGAAGCTATGACTAGTTGTTTATATGAGGGCACGAGAATGTAGCATTATAACTTATTGTCAGGATTACAGGTGCAATGTTGCATAACTACTGCCCTACATGCAAACCAGGCAGGCCTCAGCTGTGCCCTTCATTGCACCTCCACACTGCAGCACAATGCACGCACAGCTTAGCTAGCAACGTCTGCACAGATCCTGCAGCAGGAAATTCACTAACACAGCCTCATGGTGAAGTTTAAGTACTTTATTTTAACTTTAAATTGCATGTCAGTAGCAGTAAGTTTAAATACTAACAAAGAATCTGAGTTCGGACCTTAATCAAGCCATGCAGCTCCTTCCTCTGCTGGTCCAGGTGGTGGTGGGCGTGCCTCCACCTCTCCTGTATCTCCATGAGCTCGGTCTGCAGCGTGGACTCAGACGTGACGTCAGCTGACAGCAGCAGGCTCCTGCCGGCCTCTACAGTCAGGATGTAGACGCCCTGTTGCCTCTGGAGGACTCGTTCTTTCAGCTGGAGGAGCAGGGACAGAGACAGAGGGCAGAGCGGGTTCAGGTTTACTAAGGGACTCTAAGGTTGGAGACGAGATAAAGATTTATTAGTGCCAAAAAAAAAAAAAAAATGGCATCAAGGTACAAATTTAAAAAGCTATTTCAGGAGATTAAAAAAGTCAAAGCTGTGCAGTATTTAAAACTAATCTTAAAAATACATTTTCTGTTAACATATAAAGGACGTTTCACAACAACGTACCTGTATTTGACCTAATAAGTTTCTAGCCTGCTGCAGGGCCATCATTTCTCCTGGCTGAAGGACGTCTGGATCACAGCTCAACTCCTGTAGCCATCGCCGCAGCTTCTCTGACATCTCCCTGTAGTTCTGCCACTGGTGCACCAGACTGTCGATGATGCCTCTCCGCTGCTGCGCCCGCCGCACCACACACTGCCACTGATTGCTCAGCAAGGCCAGCTTCACACTGAAATCATCACTGAGCAACAAGAGCATGTTAGTTAAGCACAACCGGATCACATTTAAATTAAATTTCATGTATAGGATTGAGAGTTAACCTGTCGTCCACTTGTCCCAAGTCCAGCAAACGATGCCCGTCGCTGATGATGGAGTAAATAACCTGCTGCCTGCTGAACATCTCCGCCTGGAACAGCTGCAAGTGAACAGAGTCACAAACACTGTAGGCAGTGAAGAACGTACGAGCGCTCACGCAGAAACACAGAAGCTCTCTGACCTCGTGGTCTCTCTGCTGCTCCAACAGACTCTCGTAGTTGCCTGAAATCTCAGCCGCCAGTTTCTGTTCAGTCTGAGAGAGGAAATCCATCCAGGCCTCACACTTCTGGAGGAAACTCTGCTGCTGGAGCAGAACTGACTGCAGTTTACTGGAGACAAACCAAATCAACATTAGAACGGGAACATTTACATGAAATTAAACCCAAACACTTCCCAAGGCATTTTATTTACAGTGCATTATAGTGATACTTTACTATTTTAAATTCTTATGCAAAAACTGTTTGATGTGATATCAATTTATTTTGTATTTCATTAGCTCCAAAATATTTTTAATTTGCAAATGTTCATCAAACTGAAGACGCAGATTTATTATCTAAAACTGACTTAAAATATATATTTGTACTATTTAAAATTTGTACTGTCTCAAAACTGACACTGATATCAGTACTGGGACCAGCTTCAAATACTTGTACCCATAGAAACACCGCGATACTTTGGATCGATACCACTATTATGCTTGGTGATATAATTTCCTCTTCCACTTCACAAGCAATTGAGGAAAAAAATAAAGTATGTCCAGAGTTTGGAGATATTATAAGAAACACAGGTGAAGTTAAGAAAGCAGACTGTTTGCTGTGTTCTTAATGGAAAAAAAAAGGAGTTTCTAAAGTCACTGTGTAATGTTGAAGTACTAATTCACTAACTATTCTCAGTATCAGCAAGTACCCAAACTGTAATATTTGTACTCGGTCAGAAATCATTTTTATCGGGACAGCCCTATTTAAAATCTTCACAGAGATTTTTCAAAGCAGAGGAACCCAGAGGCCGAAGTCACCTGAACCTCTCCGTGAGGTGAGCAGAGTGGGAGGCCCAGGCTCTGTTGAGGTTCTGGAGCCGTTTAACATCTTTGTCGCTGACCGGTAATCTGTACGCCAACTCGTTAACCCGTTCCAGGTCTGGAGAAAGACTGCTCAGCTTCAGCAGATGCACCTATAAAAAACAATATAACAGTCAGGCAGACAAAGCAGTAAAAAACATTTAACTGGACATTAAACTAAACAGATGAAGTTGGAACACAGAGAGTGAAATAACATCTAGGAACCTTAAGTTCTTCCATACGTGACTGGACCACAGTGAGTTCAGGTGAGCCGACCGGGTCAGACTCCTTCAGCACTTCCTCAGCCTCCTGTGCTCCACTTATCAACGTGTCCAGCTGCTCCTTGAAACCTCCACAGGCTTGAGATCCGAGCTGAACACAGAACGACACAGTGCGAGTGAGAAAAGTGGATAATAGCTTACCAAGGCATCCCTCTCCTCATACAGTGGGATCTGTAATAATCCTACCTGCAGTGCTTCTCTCTGCCTGTGAAGGGTGTGCTCGAGTGCTGCAAGGCGATGAGTGAGTGACAGGTGGTCAGACGTGAGAGATGCAGAGGAGGAGGCGTCCACTTGGCTCCTCAGCTGTTCTCCGACTGCTTGCAGCTGCTGGAGGGCCTGCTGCACTGAATCTTGGTCACTCAGGCAGTCCTGATGAGAAAACAAAACACGATAACTTGTGAGAAGACAAATCAGGATCAAAGTTCAATATTTATATATATATTGAGTTGAATTTGTCAAGATTTGATTGTGTGCTAGAAGTTCATGATGCATGTTTTGTGGCTTTTTATAAGCAACAAAAGTGGGACAGTCTTTAGCAGCCACTGCAGCAGCACTAAATTCTTTTGTCACTGACTAGCAACCGTTTGCATCACTGATTCTCTCTGCTTACAGAACTCGGACTGTGACATTATGCTCCGACACGCCCAGCACGACACTGGGGGATCCCTGTAGTGTAAATCAGGGGCCTGTCTCTTCTTGTGCAGGTTCCCCTCTGAAAGGGCTTTTGTTCGAAGGCCCTGTGAGTTTACGTTCAAGCAGAGAAAAGGACAGGGTGCAATTTGGCTTTCATTCGTGAGGACAGAGTCTTTGTGAACTCGCACGGTTAGCTGACAACACATTATTCACGGCGCCTCAGAAAGCGAGCAGGAGGAACCTCCTAGAAAGCCACAGAAAGTGGAAACTAGAAAGTTCCTGGAGAGGACTGCCAGGCTACTGCCAATTCAAATTTTTGATTTAACAGTACTATGTGTGCTCAGGTTCGCTCTCATGTATCACTATACCAATTATCATCTTAATATGGCAAAAAATCAACGAGTTATAGTCTTTTTTTATTTTAAGCTATGGTGGCCATCTTTTAAATTTGGATTCAATAAGTGATGGGAACTGTTTTCAACTATAACCACACCACATTTCAACTCTATATGTGTGAAAATGGCTTAGTTAAAGCCATTTAAATGTAACTTTGGTGGCCATCTTGGATTTTTAATTTGGATTCAGTATGTGATGAGAAACATCCTCAGCTATCACCACACAAATGTTTAGCTCAACATCTCTACATTTACTACTTTATAGCAGATTTCCTTTTTAGCTCAGGCAGCCATCTTGAACTTTTGATTTGCATTAGGAATGGACACATATGAAAACTCGCTCTCAGCTATGATCAGAGAAATTTCAGCTCAGTATCTCAAAGAATGACTGAGTTGTAGCAGTTAGAAGCTGTTGAGCTCCGTCAGACATTTTGAATGAGAAAGTGGCTTCTTTGTTAGCAAATGTCATCGCCATGGTAACTTGAAACACCAATAAAAGTAATGGCACATATCACGGTGCTGAGCCGGTTGTTTTGATATAAGAATTGTGGGGGTACATACTGCAGTTCGGGTCGCATTAAAGTTGACGGAAGAGTAAGATATAAAGTTAAGAAACCCTTGTTAGGTGGATAATAATAGGTGCTGCTTTAGTAGGGAGTCCCCAATAACAATCCAACACCTGATTTGGATCCTTAAAGATAATAAAAATGTAAAAGATGAAAATTATGTTTCCATTATGAAACACAGGACAACTCTACTTACATCACAGCTTTTTATCCAGGTGCTGCTGTCCTCCTCAGTGATGTCCCTGTCAGTGGCGCTCCTCAGCAGACGTTCAGCGCGTTCTTCCTGCTTCTGAAGTGCCGTCAAACACTGGCTGTACGTGGATCTGTAGCGCTGCCACAGACCCAACAAGGTCTTACTGCTCCTCAGCTGCTCTGAGATCTGCTCAAGAAGGTGATTCCACCTAAAAGCAAGAAAATTGTTACAAAATAAATGTCAGTTTATTTATAAAGCACACTTAGAACACAACATGAACCAAGGAGCTGCACTAAATAGGTCAAGCAAACCAGAACTCATTAAATATGTGTGTGTATATATATATATATATATATATATATATATATATATATATTTAATGAAACAGGTAAAAAAAAAAGAAGAAAATAATGCAACAATTTAAAAAGTTGAATACAATTCCAATTTAAAATCCAAAAGTAAAACAGGGAAGTTAAGGTAGCATTTTCTTAAAGAACTTAAATCACCTTCTGCGTTGGAGCAACATTTTAAGTAAAGGTCCTACCTAGCAATCTGTTAGCTCTCATAGTATATGATGGGTATGACTCTCAGCAACTACTGAAACAAATTTTAACTTTCTGTCTGTAAAATTGTACGAGTTATTGCTATTTTTGTGTTGGTTAATGTTGATTAGCTGTGGCGGCCATCTTAAAACAAGTTGATATCAAAGCTATTCAGTTGCAGATTTCTATCCAATGATTAGTTTCTGAGTTTCATTAAAATGTGTACAATGGTTCATGAGATATTTTTCTAACAGACAAAAACACATACACAGACAACAAACTACATGATTATCTGTTTTTCTTGACCACATGTGGTAAAAATCAAGGTTTCAAGTCGTGCTTAAATCAAATGTCAATAAAAAGAAGTGGGTCTTCATACGTTTTTAAACCCTCAAAAGTCTGAAGAGTTCATTTAAGAGTTGTAAAGTTTTTCCACAGAATGGGAGAATTCACATCATAATCTGTTAATCTGTTTTTGGGTTTGGTTCGTGGAACATTTAAAAGAATTTAGTCATTAGACCTGAGTGTTGAAGCATGGTGACATAAATAGTTCCTCAACCGGGGCCAGCCTCTTTAAAAGTTTTACAAACTATTATTAAAATCTTAAAGACTGTCCTGTAACAAATAGGAAGTCGATGGAATGAAGTCAATAAGACTGAGCTGATGCGTTTGTCAAAGATCACAGCAAGGTTTTTCACAGTGGCTTGAATATAGAAAGACAAGCACCTAAGAAAAAGTCATAAAACAGTCAGGCTATTTAAATAAAATGATCTGTTGTGTTTATGTTGAGAACTGTTTTTGTTAAGATCTGTGTTTTTATATCGACTAAATAGTTTAAAAAAGCTGCAGTGAAGATTTGGTTTTAATATGTAAGTGCAGATAAATTTGATCACCTACATAAAAACTAATACAATTCTTATTGTTAAGAATGGACCCAAAAAATAATAAAGGGGCCGGGCCGAGGATGGACCCTTGTGGAATTCCACATGTAAGTGGGTTTGGAAATGTAAATTTATCTGGAATTAGAAACTATTTTCTGACAATTAGGACCTAAATCCAGTATAAATAAGTATATTTAGTCTCTAAAAACCAGCAAAGACATGATCAGAGAATAATATGGTGATGCCCAACAGAGACACAGGCAGCATGTATGTCTAAAAGCACAAGTTCAGAGTGTACTCAATGAAGTTCATTTTAGAAGGAATTTGTCATTTAAAATCCTGTAAACAAGCAGCTTTGAGATTACCTGACATTAACGTCTTGAAGTGCTCTGTTAAGTGTTTCAGCTACAGACGGGTGACACTCAGTCAGCAGTTGGTGAGTTACCAATCCAAACTTCCTCAGACTACTCTCCTGTTTATCCAACTCCTCCTGTAAGTTCTGTAGGACACAGACACACAGAAAAGGTTCATTTTTAAACAGATCTTTGCCACTTTTCTGCAACAAAAAGCAAAACTAGTTTCTGCAGTCCTTACCTCCAGATTTTCCACCTGCTGCTGCACTGCCTCTAAAGACCCATTAAGGAGTCGCAGCCTGGACACAGAATATCTTCCCTCCATCAGGTAACCGTTTATTTCTTCTGAAGCTCGCCGGTACAGAGTCCACTGCTCCAGCACTGACCGCAGACTCAACTTCATCTGACTTATCTGATGAGAACAAGGAGTAACATTTGTAAAGATGTGTGGGGAAATTTAACAGACCAGTGTAACAGTGGTTGAAGAAACTCACCATGTGGTCCAAATGAGCCCAGGACTGGTTCAGTCCTTTGAGGGTCTCCTTTACGACAGAGCAGGCTTCACCTTCCTTATTCTGGATCAGAGCATTTCCTCTTTCCTCTGCTTTCTCCAAATCCTTTTCTTTATCCTTCACCAAGTCTTCCAATTCCTGTTAGACATTATATCTATAATAGTTAATGTTTTTCTTAGTTCATATCTTAGATCTTATTACTGTTTTTTTTTTTTACATTTTATACTTGTGTTGGATGTAACTGGGACCCTGTGTAAACAATTTCGTTCCACCACATG